TCCTTTATTTGTAGTAGAAAATCATTTAGGTTAAACTAGGCGTATCTTTATTTATTGTCTACAAATCAATAGTTTAGTAATAATAGGTAAGAATAAATAGTTTAGGGCCATATTTCCTGTGGAAACATGACCTCATAATATTGATTAGCAACTAATATAGATTGATTAGTTTCAAAATACCATTTTAAAACTAAAAAAAAATATGGTAAAAAGAAAAAAAAGGAAACTTCATTCATAAAAGGGGGGTTCTGTGGAGATTTTAGTAATCTTTTATATAGTTGAGAACATGAGTTCATTGAAGCTAGACCAGTGCTTCCAGATTGTTCATGGTGGTCTAGCTTCAATTGATTCATGATTTCATTTATATAAAATTGATTCATAAAAGTTATAAACACCATACACCCAAAATGTATTACAACATTTACATTTAACAACTTAAAGTCTAGTGCTTTCTAATACATTGAAGTAATGTATTGATGAACGTCACTGCTGTAAATTTAATGAAATTTTATAGTAACATTATCTTGAGGGTTATATTCGTCGTAGATTGATTCAGAAAGTATTGAATACCTGTTTTGTTCTAGTATAGAACTCGTCAGTAGCGATCATTTATAACTTTATAATTGTTGCGAATTCACGGTCTTCAAGTTTTGTGGTGAATTTATTTATTTATTTAAACACATAAATATTGGTACAAAGGAGGCACCAGATATATATACGCCTCACAAATATCATTTGATTTGTGTGGGGGCTGTGATACTGCCAAGATGCCCAAACTGAAGCAGGTGGTTTCCTTAGAGGACCACACCCCGAACCTTTGACCTAAGGATCTGATCGACGAGGCAGTGTAGCATCGTGAAGAGATGCAGTCCCATGGTAGTCAATTATCAACAATTGGTTTATACGCCATTTGTTCCCACAGGATATTGGAGCCAGTCCATGTGCACCATTGGTTTGGAATGAGGGTTTTCCAACTCCCCTAGATGGACTTTCCGTGTCCACCGGTTCTCTCAGTTTCGTAAACAACAGTAATGCCACGAGAATGCAGTGAGTAGGACTTCTCTGGCAGAGGCTATATAAGCGTGATGAATACTGAATCATTAGAATCATTTGGTCGACGCCTAATGAAATAATTCCAACCGTACAAATATTTGAAGGAAAGTGATATCCAATGCATCTAATATTTCTATGGTGATCTAACTAAGATCAGTTTGTGACTTGAAACCTATAAAATATGTTTTTTTATAGTGCAGTTTTTTCCACTTATATGAACAGTGGTAAACCATGAATAATACTTCACATAGCTCCAACGTTTTTGAATGGTTAGATTGTGTAAATGTTTATTTAAAAGTATTCACCATTCTTTTGAATAATGTGAAACTGATAATGTGAGATTGATCATCCTTTCTAAAATGCTTGATAAAAGTAAGACATCTAGCATTTCAGAGTAAATTTCTGTTGATTTAGTGTGTCATTCATGCATATAAGAGTATAATTCTCACTGAAGATTTTAATATATTTAGATTGTGAATGACAATAGAATCTAAAACGTAAATTTAATGGACATACTAAAACTTTGGGTAAAGATTGTAAACAAGGACAATCACATTAGACAGTAAATATAACAATAGCGATTGATTGATGACAGTCCTACATTTCAAAAAACTAAAACTAAAAACGGATACTAATAAATTTATATCTGTTAAACATGCTAATGGCTAAATAGACCCAATAGCATTATGGACAATATGTCAGGATTGGAAGTAAAAGATATGGGGTTTAAGTTTCAATACGAAAGCCAACACTATAAGATGCAGGTGAATCCAACTTACCTACTTACTTACTTACTTAGGCCTGTAACCTCTCATGGAGGAGCATAGGGCGCTTACCAGCTAACTAATGAGTTCCGAATGAAATGAAATGGACACACGGGATGGTACTGATAATCATCAAATAAATGTAATCAACTTCGATATTATTCTTATTATCAAATAACTTAGTAATCATTAAATAGAATAACCATTCTAGATAAATTACCTGGCAATTAGTTGAGTCACTGTTATTGATTAAGCGAGTTTATTCATGCTGTCTTCAATATTTAATGAGTATACAACACTCGAAACTCATTTTTATTCATTTATTAGGTAAGTGTTGTACATGATTGTTTCTTTTACTAAACTCTTCATTTCAATTATTCAAAGTTATCTACATCGGTCTACTGTGAATGAACTAGTGTAGATCACATCAACACGCTGGATACAAAACACTAAAATAATGAAATTTAATTCTTAAAATGAAATTTCTAGTGAAAATTACACTCTCATATCCAACAGTCACTCACTTACTGAGTAGTATAATGCTCATATATTGTGAATACTGTACATATACTAAACACTGAAAGTCAAACCTTAATTGTTTATTAATGTCACACAATTTTTGGTTTGCTAAACTACATAGACTATTTATAATTGATTGATCAATGGGTGGTGATCAATGTCATGTATGTCAGGTTCCATCCAGTGATCAATCAATTGTAAATATATCTCAGCCCTTATAGCTCAGTAGTAACGTCTCCCGCTGTGAAGCTTGGTGACACAGCATCGAATCCGTCAGAGAGTATCGGTTCCTTCACGGTTGCAGGTACACCTTGCTAACGAGTGCCAAATAACACAAAACCTAGGTTCAGGGTTTTCTGTTGACTGCCTTCAACCACCATTTTACAGCCACTATTACTCATTATTTTTTTAAAAGAAAGAGCATAATAAATCTATTCTATATGCTTGCTAAGAGGAATGGAAAAGTAATTCCATCGAAATCATGTTCAAACTAGCATGATTATTATTAGTTTATGACATTTAAGTGCTTGCAAATAACACTTAAGGTTTGATTTAGCAGTTATTATCAAAGTTTATTCGATTCTAATATCAGAACAGCGAAGGTGACAACTAAGTGAACCATATCCTGACTTCATATACATAAGAAAACGAGTTCAAACTAGAACGAATGATAATTCTACATTGAATAACTCAATTGAATGAATCATGTATATGAAGTTCAAAAATAAAATAGATTTTATTGTTTTCCTGTAAATGTAAATGTATAAATAACATCTGAAATCAGTAAATTATAATCCTTGTAATACTTGGTAACTATGTGTATTTATTAGAGTTGCCATGCCAAATCATCAGAAAAAAAGAGGGACAGATTATCACTGACAAATACCAGAATATTAGATGCATTAAACATATTGGGGATAGTGGGAAGCAGTGACCAGTGGAGTTCAACCAGGTCTGTTGGGAGATATCAACTCACTGATGACATTGGTGAATGGTTGCTCAATTCCGTGGAACGGTTGAAGTTAGACATTAACACCGTTGGATGCCGGCTCAGTGGTCTATCGGTTAAGGTCTCTGGCTCGAGACTGGTAGGTCCTGGATTCGAATCTCGCTCGCGAGACGGGATCGTGGATGCGCACTGCTGAGGAGTCCGATAATAGAATGAGACGGCCGTCCAATACTTCCAGGTTTTCCATGGTGGTCTAGCTTCAATCGACTCATGATCTCAACTTTGAAAAATATTGGGGATAGTTGAAAAGATGAAACAGAAGATATGTGATCCCATAAGAAAAGATATATTCATGGAATAAAAAGTATAAGTTTTAAAATTCAACTTCACCTGTAGCCCCTCCAGGGGCTACTGCCGGTCTCAAGCCCGGAAAAATGAGAATGGTCAGGCAGAAGGTTAGCGACCCATCCCAAAGAAAACCAACTCGCCTAAAAAAACGCTAACTAATTCTAAACTTTAACACCTAGAATAGAAAATAAAAAGTATTTACAACTGAGCTATTATTATCAATTCTGATCTACGTCGTTACTCATTGTTTTAGTCAATTGGTTATGATAATTGTAAGGATAGTAATCTGATAATCTGTATCTACGTAAACAGTTCACTTTAACGGTTAAAAACTTCTAAACTACTTATTTTAATCAATTGAAATTTGTTTATACTAAAATAGCTTAGTGCTAATTTCATTACTTCAAAAAAGGAATCATATGGTCATGAATTACATTGGAAGTATAAGCTTCTTCAATATTGACGATATGACTTGTAAATTAACATGGACCTTAAGTTTAATACTTTATGTATAATAATTCAGAGTAATTAAAATTACCCGTTGATTGACTGATTTGAATTAACTTTTTAATAATTATACAAATTGGTTTCTGGAATATACTTTTGGTAAGTGTACGATTCATTTAATCAATATAAAATACTTTCTAAGAACGAGTATACTAGTAAATTTACAATAAAATGGTCTAAGACTGTACTTTATTCTTAATAAATGTAAGGATGGCTCGTTGGCAAACTCAAGGAAGTCTCGAGAAGCCCAGAAAGAGAAGAAGACATTCCATCCAATCACCACTAGGTGAACATTCTAGAATGTCGACGTGTAGCTCCCCTATTGGATGAATAAGAAGGATCCCCTATGTGCCTATTGACTGTCCGAAATGATGATTTATTTTCAGCCAAAAAAAACTATAAATACATGAGATTTCTGTACTATATTTGACACTGTTTGGGGAATAAAATTTCTACTTACTAGTCTTCTGTCTTCTCTCTTGTGACATTGTGGGTTCTATCGTTCAAGTAGTCTAGTAGTATGTGGCATAGCAAGAATCAAAGCTCTAGATATAACAATGAATCATTGTATCAGATATCTGCTGGATTATACAAGTCATAGTTTAAATGGACAGTATTTTTCTCTTAATGTAGTCAACAAGCAGTTTTTTTAAAGTTTTTACTATCATATTCCATCTGAACTCAATACTAATGATCCAAGAATCTAACAAAGACAAATAATGGTATCGGATCACCTGAATGTTTATCTACTAGTTTACTTGCTCCTATTGAACAAACAAGTGTGTTCTCTTCAAGTATATGTTTAGTAAACTGTTACTAATTTACAAAATTAACTCTTTACAAAACAATATATACATTACCTTTCATGTGGATCATCATGACATAATTCAATATTTGGACGTCGATTACGTAAGTCTAATCTTGTCCTAGCAACTTTTAATGGTGCTTGTTTATCAGCTATACATCGTTTTAAATATTCTATATTCTTCTCAACATCAAATAATTCTTGATTAATCTAAAATAATGTTAAAAGTAAACAAGAGACAAAGAGAGGGAGAGATTAATGAAAATAGACAACTATGAATAAAAAGTCCGGTTAGGAAAACAGCAAATCTCTGGATCAAATAAATTCTAAGAATTCCAGAGAATCTCTGAAAGCGTAACATTTAGATCAACTAGAAATCAACAGCATTATCAAAATAGACTTGATTTATCAACCTATTCGTAAATGGTCAGTCAACAACATGGTCAGGATTCAACAGAACAAGACAGTCAACTTCAATAAAAGGGATAAATGAAAGTAATGAAATCTACGATGACAACAAATAAGACCATCAGAATAAGCTGATTTAATAAATGAGAGAACTATGAAACTTATTTCGACATGAAGTAAGAACTGATGATGTTGTCTAGAACGGTAATAAAAACTCTGCAACTAAACTATCTAGCTTAGAGAAATCGATAACAATCTCCAAAATACTTTGATGTACCAGAAATTCTTTTCGAGATTGAAATCTCTGTTCGTTCAAAAATGATTTTTACAAAGTACTGTTTAGATGATTATTTTTTTATCTTCATTCTCCATAGTCTTTCCATTAATAGACAATATTCATGAGTAGTTATGTGCTTTACTTACTTATTTATTTACACCTGTTACTGCCAATGGAGTATAGGCCGCTGAGCAGCATTCTTCAACCCACTCTATCCTCAACCTTCCTTTCTAGTTCTATCCAATGCTTGTTCATTCTTTTCATGTCTGTCTCCATTTCTCAGCTTAATGTGTTCTTTGGACTTCCTCTACTCCGTTGACCTTCAGGATTCCATGTGAGAGCTTGTCTTGTGACGCAGTTGAGTGATTTCCTCAATGTGTGTCCTATCCACTTCCAGTACTTCTTCCTGATTTCTTCCTCCACTGGATGGAATCTGGTTTGTTCTTTCCCACAGCAGCTTGTTGCTGATAGTGTCTGGCCAACGGATCCAAAGTATCTTGCGTAGACAACTGTTAATAAACACTTGTATCTTCGGGATGATGGCTTTCGTAGTTCTCCAAGTTTCCGCCCCATATGATAGAACTGTCTTGACACTTGTTTTGCGAATTCTGATCTTGTTGTTGTTTGACAATTGTTTTGAGTTCCAGATATTCTTCAACTGTAAATATGCTGCTCTTGCTTTTCCGATCCGCACCTTCACATCTTCATCAGGTCCACCGTGTTTATCGATGATGCTGCCCAGATATATAGAAGTGTTTACATCTTCCGAAGCTTCCCCGTTAAGTGTAAGTTAGGCTCTTTCATCTTTAATAATTTAAATTTACATAGAACTTGTAATAATATTGAAACTTCAACTTATACATCATAATCAAGCATATTTAAACATCTTATGGTGAAGATGATAATATCAGGAATCGTGGATGCTCACTGCTAAAGAGTTCCAAACTAGGATGAAACGTCCATCTAGTGATTCCAGGTTTTCCATGATGGTCTAGCTTTAATCGACTGATGAATTCAACTATTAAATTACAATAATATTCACAAAAAAACCTTGATGGTTTGTTAGATCATTCAGTGTATTAATATTAAAAATATATTTAACATTTTTTAGGAGTTTATAGAAAATTCACAATATGATTTCCAAGTGTGTTAAACTGAATAATAAACAACCCATGATTCTAATAAGAAAATACTAAATACAAAACTTGAATACACTGTAGCGAACAAGAACACAAGTTGGGGACAATCGAATGTATTTAAGCACTAATTACAGACTATCTCACTAAAATCTGATAACCATACAGTAAACAGTCTGTTTGCAAACTATTAATCAACTGTCTCAAACTTGACTGTTCCTTCTGAAAATATCAGTCCATCTTCTCTGAGTTCATTGTTTATGCACCTTCATACGGGTTGCGCTTTGTTCCAGTTCAATCTTCTAGTAAAATACTTTTTATGCCTGGCCATCACCATATACTACTTGCGTGGGTATAAGTAACCCACACCACAACACTACTAACAAATATTGAGAAGTAATGTATTCATACTATTTCATAATTATGACTGAATATGAATTATTTATTAAATACATTAGTTAAAATTACGAAAAGATGCTGAAGAGCAAACAATGAAACTTCCCAAGAAGATATTTCATATTATAAGTAATACTTTAATGTACAATAATCCCCCCCCTCCAAAAAATACTCCTTCTAACTACTACAACATAAACATGATATCAAAATCATGTCTGTATTTCATGGCATAACTGCTCAAAAAATCTGTAATTCTAACAGTGATATAGAGAATCAGTTTCTAAATGGATTTTTTTTCCAGGTAGTTGAAGATAGTCAGTAAAAAGCCTTAAAATTAGGGTTTTATACTAGTTGGCACGTGTTAAAAGAGCTTACCTAAAATCTTATACCAACTAATACCATCGATTGGATTTAAACCTACATCATCTGTTATATCCCCTGGTGAATTATGAATAGTAACTTTTAGGTCTATTTATCGACCAATGTATTATGCCTATTTCCTATTGTACAATTGTTACGTAACTAAACTATTCATATTCGTATTTCTCTTATCATGAGCTTTATTTTGATCTTTGATTTATTATCATACGATTCTTGAGTTATAATCAGTTTATTGATTACTTTGATTTGTATAAAAACCCAGTGTGTTTGTAAATAATGATTCATATATTGCCGAGGCTGTTATTTGTGTTCTGCACTCAACTGGCTGGGCTAGGCAGATAGGAAGGACCGAATAGCACTCAAGACTGCTTGTACGATCTCAAGTATCATTTGCGTCCGATCAATAAATCCACTCCTCTCTAATTGCACGTATATATATATATATATATATATATATATATATATATATTACGAGTCCATACGTCATAACAATCTAACATTCTAACATAGTGTAAACAATGACAAATCACTTAGAATAATAACCTCAAAGTAAGGTTATTAGTAAACCATGATCAACACTAAGAACTAGACAATAATGATAGGATCAGAAGGGGGGGGGTTTGTGGAGATTTTAGTAAATTTTTTATATAGTTGAGATCACAAGTCAACTGAAGCTAGAACACCACGGAAAATCTGGAAGAACTGGACGGCCGTTTCGCTCTACCGTGGTACTTCTCAGCAGTGAGCATCCACGATCCCACTTAGCGAGATTCGAACCCAGGATCTACCAGTCTCAATTTCGTAAATATGATATTAGTCACTACTACTTAGTAATCAAGTAATTTGAGTCAATATATTCATATATATGAATAAATTATCAAGTTATTAGTCAATATTGAAAAAAGAGATTCAGCTTAGAAACCTATTTAAAAACAATACTCCATACTTACAATGGTAACTAATCATACTTTAAAAACAAGGTTCAATTTATAATTTTGACAATTTTCATGAACCAACAAGATCGATGTTTAATGTCAACTGTCTTCTTAAATAATGAGACACAATCACTTTGTAGAATGAGTCATTTCATTGTTCTGTTAAAGAAACTATATATACATATATATTCTATCTAATGCCAAATTTTAATTGTATAGTACTTGCATTCAATATTTGGAACTAACTTATACTTGACTAGTAATGTTTATGTGTCTGTAAAAGTTCAAATCAACAATGATATAAAGTTTATAGTTTTCTGAAGATTGATTTAAGTTGGAATTGATATTCAAGACGGATCGACATCAGATAGTATATCATCAAAAACTATAGAACATAACAGTGATCACTGAGAGGCTTCGATGATCTATGAGAGTACACTAATGATTAACTAAATTTGAAAATGTATACCATTGGATTCATAAAAATTAATCTGAACGTATAGTGTTCACAGTTATTTATAGTTGAAATTATGAGTCAATTGAAGCTAGACCAACATGGAAAACCTGAAAGCACTGGACGGCCATTTCATCCTATTATGGGACTCCTCAGCGGTGCGCATCCACGATCTTGCACTCGCGAGATTCAAACCCAGGATCTACCAGTCTCGCGTCAGAGCACTTAACCGATTGGTCAATTGACTCATGATTTCAACTATGAAAATACTAAATTCTCCACAAAACCCCTACTGATCCACAATTATTTAGTCAAACTCGTGGGAATGCCATATAGAAAATTCAAAATGAGGTAGAAATAGAAGTAAAAGATTCGTTATGATTCGAAATGAACGCACAACTTTTTAACATACATATGGTTCTGAAAAGTAATTGTCATTTATATACTTATCAGCTTACTAGCCAATATGTGACGAGGAATGATATTCTAAGAGATGAAAGATGGTAAAATTGGTAATATCATTCATTTTCAATGTCAAAATATGAAAGTAGTTGTTATAGTCAACCAGAACCACTATTATTATGATGTACTTATAGTGTTTACACTACAGTTATTTGATAACATCGTCACACTTCAATATCGTCATAACTTTTATAACATGACAATGTCATTAGTCTTCAATCGTTCTTATTGATTTCCTTGTCTTATAATATTAACCCATATATTGTGATTTTTACTAGTTTCATTGTTCTTTCTTGAAATATAAGAGCTATACTGAACGTCCATTCTCCTCATTATTTGTTTACCTGTGGCTGATTGTCATTGAGGGATTATATATATGTACTTCGATTTGCCTAGTCAATTAGATCAGTCTTTGTACTTTTCAATAATCCCTATTTTAAGCCTCAACAATATACAAATAGTAATATTAATGAAGGAATTCAACCAGCAATTTATAAGATAAGTAAACTTTTATACCATAGCCTTAGTTACTTCAAAATTTTGTTAGTAGTAGAGGATAGTATGGTGATTTAATTAATAGTCTTTTTTTCAAATGTACATGTTTACAATAGTATAGAAACGAAAAAAGATAATACATAACATACTTTTTCTAATTGAACTTGTATTCTATTCTTAGCTTCCATTGTTTCTTGTATACGTTGAGATAAGCATGCATTAGTTGAAGACCATAAATCACGTATCTTACTGAATGTTGATCCTAAACAGTGTTCAATTGCTTCACGAATAGATCGACTTGCTGCACGTTCAGCTTGAGAACGTTTTAAATTAGCACTTGTATGTTCAGCCCATTTTTCTGGTACACTCATCCTATATATTCAAATATATGAAGATGAAGGTCACATATATATGTACTTAAATGTGAAAATAAGTCTAATATAATTGTTAGTAAATATTTGGGGTACCATTGAAGACAGGAAAATACTGGATGACCGTTTTTTTGGTGGGGACTGATAATCCCCTTAGGGTCGAACTCAGTGTCTTCAGGTCTTATGGCAAACGATTAACCGTTAGAAAAACAGAGACGGTAGAGTTGCCAATATATTCTATTTAGGAGCCCCATACTAGAATAAAAAAGCTATCCAGTACTCTTTAGTCTTCAATGACCCCCCAAATGATATCAATCTCGAACAAATACAACCTAGAAATTAAATTGATATTTACAAAACTCCTTCAATTAGAAGATTCTTCATTTTCATTGCGATTAAATTCAGCAGTTATTTAGAGAAGTAGTTAGCTGTTATTTTTTATTTTATAAGAAAAGTAGTCAGTATATAATTTAATTACTGCTATAACCAATAAACTGTTGTATCTGTGAAAAACAATTAAAGACAAAATATCAAGCGAAATTTTCTTTTTGATGATGTTACTGACTCAAGCTGTACACCCTTATTCATAATTATTCAATAGACACAACAGTGTATTGAAAAGTAGAAGGACAAATGAGATATTAAGGGAACCCAATTACGTTAGTTCTTTGGCCGTTTTGAAATTCAAAACGTTCCGAATACGGACAATGAAATATAGTCTATTTCATCTATATCCTCAAGATTCATCACTAAATTAGGCGTGAAAAATATTCATTTGACTCCATCCTACCCTCAGTCAAACGATTAATCAGGAAGGGTGGTGGATACATTAAAGCAGACACTCTTATAGGCGAAGGTGAAGGAAACGATAAGTGAGATTCTGGATAATTTTCTTCTAGCTTACCAAACAACGGAATATCTGTCCAATTAGTTAATCAGTCATTTGCAACATAGAACTTGACACATCTTCATTGGTTCAAGTTGCCAAACCATATTAGCAAAATGAGATAAAATTATCAATGTAAACCCTAGATTGGTAAAAGTAGTAGTAGTATTTATAGTAGAAAGACTTGGGAATAGAAAAAAGAAAAAAGGAATGGGGGGATCTCAGGACTCAAGTTCTAATCCATCACAGTTGAATCAGTTGTCACTTACTTAGTAATTTCCTTTGGCTGAATAGATACACATAATTAATAGATATTACATTCATCATGGTTATCCGACAGATGTAAAGCTTAGCACATATTAAAGTTACTAGGGAACTTTAAAAAAAAGTGTATTCCATGAAACACAGGGTAATAATAATATTTTTTTAATGACATAGAAATCAATAATAAATATCTTTTTCACTTACCATTTTTCTAATTTTTCAATATCACCATATAAAGCAATATTAGCCGATGAATTACGTAATTGATGAGCTAATTGATCCAATTGTAATGCTCTAAATTTATCTGAACTATCTTGTTCTAATTCATGTTGAACACTACGACATAAACTGGAGGAAAAAGAAATGAATTAGTTATATCGAGAAAATGATTGAAAGATAAGTATATGAAATTACAATAAAATGTAACTGATAAGTTCGTTATTTGTATCCTCACACTTTTTGTCTCCTCTCTTAAATAACAATCTACCATAGTCAGTCGTTCAGTAAGTCAGTAATAACGCAGAACCTGACACACATTTGCATTAGTTCAGGGTGCTACATCACATCAATACAGTAAGATAAAATTATCAAGACAAAACGGTATTGAGTAGATTTATTAACGATATCAGTTGTGATTGAAAAGATTAGGGGTGAAATATATGATATGAGAAGGTAGATTGAATTTATGAAATAAAACAGTACAAGTTGATTTCGAAACTCAGGGTTTGAAGGTAGAAAATGAGTGAATACATATGGTCCAGTGCAATCGATTCAGAGTCATGTCATTCATCGTCCGCAATCATTGGTTACGTTAATCGTGTGAGCCCCAACAAGATAATTTGAAGCCACATACACGACTCAGTTCAACTGTCAGTGACTTCATAGACTGATATACACTGGTTTAGATGCTCATATCTTTCAACGTACTCCTACACCAGCCATCATCACGTATCGAGTTACTGTTTATATGTAATAAGTCTCACAAACACCTTGACAATAAAGATTCACAGTTTCATCAACCTATTTTCCACTTCAAATAGTATGTTTCATTTTACTTCAGCATACCCCAGTCATCCAGAAACGAAACTTGTGTTTAATCAAAATCGGTTTTTCGTACATCAAGGAGAGTTCTGATCACTACTCAAATTCGGGAGGACGGAAAAATTTTCATAACTTTGGATTCTGAATTATTTCCGAGTAGAGGTGAGAAATACTGAAGCACACGACATTTGTGTTATCCAGAACAGAGTGCCAATTATCAGTGTTGTGGGATTACAAATATGTCGAATAAAATTAATAGCTGATGATTAGTCAATATTTTGCTTCACTTTTTGACTACTTACAAACGATAAGTAACATAAAAAATAAAATTAAAGTAGAATTTAAATTCACTTGGCATTGTTTGTTTGAATCTTCTCATTGATGTTTAAGATTTCAATTTATTAGTCTCTTATTGGCATATGAGCATACTGTGCGCATTGCCTCGATATAGCCTTAAGTCACAAGCACTATATGCAAAGACGAATAGTGGTGGAGCAGTGGAGCCAATACTCACAGTATGCATATATGCCAATAAGAGACTGATCAATTTTGAATTTAAACATCAATGGGAAGATTCAAACGACGAATATAAAAGGGAATTAAATCAAAATTATTTATATCAACCGATTTCAGTTAGCTATAAGTGAGACATATTCTCCTTAATCTAACCAATGGTTTAATGATATCTTTTATAAAGTGAATTTAACACTTTTTTAGACTAAATATTATTAACTATAAACTTCTTAACCTGTTTAGAATAGATCAGAAGGGGTTTTGTGTGTGAGTGTGCAATCGTGGATGCGCACTGCTGAGAGGTACCACAATAGGACGAAACGGCCGTCCAGTGCTTCCAGGTTTTCCATGGTGGTCTAGCTTCAATTGACTCATGATTTCAACTATGAAAATACTGTTTAGAATAGACAGTATAATTCCGTTTAATTGATATGTGACAATTAGAATAAATGATGTATATAGTTACCATTCATTGTAGGGTTTTCAATCATTATGAAAACATCAGTGTCAAATTATGTGTTACATGAAGTACTGAATCGAATCAACCACTTTGCTATGAAGCATCTGTTTGTTTGTAACTATTATAGAGATTTCATTATTTTCTCTAACTGTTGATTATCAGCATCATAAAACTGGTATATTGTATTTGTTGTAAGACCGTATTACCATACTTGGATAATTTACAGTTTTTTGTATGGTACATAAACAATGTAGGCTTTTTAAAAACACTAATCAAAATCAGACAGACGAAAAATATAGAATATGAGGGGATATGAGGAGTCCTACAATAAGACGAAACGGCCGTCCAGTGCTTCCAGGTTGTCCATGGTGGTCTAGCTTCAATTGATTCACGCTTTCAACTATGAAAAATATGGAATAATAATTAATTCACTATTTAAAGAAAGATGAAGAATGAATGTAACTGGGTCACTTCGATGCATTTCAGACGACGTCAGTTAACATCAAAAATCATATCTTGAACTGTTGTTCAGATCTCAACTTGCATATACAAACTAGTTTAACAATAACTACTTTTATGAACTTATTTCATGTCCTTAGTTTGTCGCCTATGATAGCTTTCTTTTGACCTTTTCACACGATATTCAGCAGTTCGGTTTAAAGTCACTAGCATAAAGTAAAAACCTACTTTTAATTTAGAAATATTATAAGTACCATAAGAAATGCATTTTTTTTATTCACACGAAATACATTACTTCTATAGATTGGAAATACCTGTGTTCTCTTAATGTAGAAAATAATCGAAATAGATTTATTGGAATTAATGAATTTTGAACAGCTAACAATAATAATGAAAAACATTCAATATTTTAAACGGGAAACTTCTGTAGTTCTTTGCACTTCTTCATTATCAAATTTTCATACTATAATTGTAGCTAAGCAACATGAATGAACTTAATAACACCCGCCCCCTCCCCCCAACAATAAAATGTTACACTATTACACACATACATACATATTATAACCAAAAAATATATATCTAATAATATACATGAAGTGCCCCCAAATGCCCTGGTACGGCCGAGAGTGGGGAGAGTCCACTCTCCCTCTCCAAATGCTCTCACATGGCCACGCGAATATATAGCCTCTGACAGGGAAGTCCTACTCACTGCCTTCTCGTGGCGGGAGTGTTGTTCACGAAAGTGAGAGGACGAAAAGCGAATGTCCAGCGCTCTAACCGGGTTGGTGGACACGGAGAGTTGGAAAACCCTGATTCCAAACCAATGGTGTACATGGACTGGCTCCAGTATCCTGATGGAACGAATGGCGAATGAACCTATTGTTTGTCAACGGCTACCATGGGACTGCATCTCCTTACGATGCTCCACTGCCTTGTGGATCAGACCTATAGGTCAAAAGCTCGGGGTGTGGCCCCCTAAGAAAACCACCTGCTTCGGTCTGGGCACCCGGACAGTATCACAGCCCACACACAAAGTGTGTCGCATATGTATCTGGTGCCCTTTTGTACCAATATATATGTGTTTAAATAAATAAATAAATACATGAAGTATTCTTTATGAATCATAAAATTTATTCTTTAACAATCAATTGAACTACTGAAATATATAATTAGTAAACGTAAAAATCTTATAAGACGAAAGAAAAGAAACAGGTTCTAATGGAAACGAAAAAGATCAAAGAAGTTCAAAAAGAATTTAATGGTTCTATTATGCATATTTGTTCTTTTTATTGAAAAACAACATAAAATAAGATAGAAAACTAATTTATGTTCTGTATAATGTTTTTAATAATATTTCGAATTCTTAAAATTCATTTAAGTGAGACTATAATTTATGGATGAACTAATCAGATTTAAGATAATAGGTCTTGGATTTTGGCGCGAAATTCACTCATCCATTTAAAAAAACATGGAGTTCCTGAGAAGATTGTCAACATTATTCAAAACTCATACGATGGACTACAATACAAGGTCTTGTATGGAGGACAGCTGACAGATGCATTTTCAGTAAGGACCGGAGTCAGATAAGTTTGTCTACTCTCCCCATTTCTCTTCCTTCTGGTAATTGACTGGATTATGAAGAATTCGACATCTGAAGGGAAATACGGAATACAAGGAACATCTCAGAATCAATTAGACGATTTGGACTTCGCTGATGACCTAGCCCTCCTATCTCACACACGTGAACAAATACAGATGAAGACAACGAATGTAGCAGCAGCCTCTGCATCAATAGGCCTCAACATACACAAAGGAGAAGGTAAAATTATCAAATACAGCACGCAGAACACCAACCCAACCACATTTGATGGAGAAGCTCTGGAAGAGGTGGAAACATTCACGTACCTGAGAAGCATCATTGATGAACAAGTAGAATAGGATGCAGATGTAAAGGCGAGGATTGGTAAAGCAAGGATAGCATTCATACAGTTGAAGAACATATGGAACTCAAAACAATTGTCAACCAACTTCAAAATGAGAATCCTCAATACGAACGTCAAGATAGTTAGTTCTACTGTACAGAGCTGAAGCGTGGAGAACTACTACATCTATCGTCAAGAAGGTACAGGTATTTATAAACAGTTATCTTTGCAAATACTCAACATTCGATGGACGGATACTATCAGCAACAGCGTTTTATGGGAGAGGACAAACCAGCTTCCAGATGAAGAGGAAATTAGGAAAATATGTTGGAAGTGGATCGGACATACTTTGAGGAAATCACCAAACTACATCACGAGGCAAGCCTTAACTTGTAATTCGGAAGGGAAGCGGAAAAGAGGAAGGCCACAGAACACATTACGCTGGGAAATAGACGCAGGTATGAAAAGGATGAATGTTAACGAGAAAGGACTGGAAAGGATTGCCTAGGACAGGGTTGGATGGAGAATGGCTGGTGTGCGGCCTATGCTCCTCCACGAGGGGTAACAGGCGTAAGTAAAAAAGTAAGTATTTAACCAAACAGCATGTTGGCATTTTAGCTGATATCAGTTCATGATGAAAAACCGTAAATGTAATTCCTGATTCTAGTTATCAACTATGAATCATAATCCTTATTCTTCAAACTGCTTCATAACCTTCAGTTAGCCCTAGTAAGTAGGTAGCCACTCTCAAGGTCACTTTGGCGTCGCTCAAAGGTCGTCCATAAATTATAGTCTCACTAATCACTCTCCTTATTTCGATAGATGAATAGAAACAATTAAAATGCAACAATTTTGTGTACTTTATAGATATATGAAGATAAATGATGGCGAACCTTGTGTAGTGTATGCTACTGATGTCGATAGATATAAGTAGCATGTACCATCAATCGAAAATGAAATATCTAGAGGCAAAAGGTTAAGAAAATCTGAGAGAAGACAAAGAGAACAAAGAATGATTGGTATGCAAAAGAAGGAACAGTCAAGTCTGAGACTATTGATCGACATTTTGCAATAGGAATATTTACTGTATGATTCTCAGATTTTACTAAGAGATTCTGTAATTATGTGCTCAGATGTATTTGCATGTTCCCACTTGTGTCCTTGTTCACTACATTTGAACAACTTTATGGCCGTGGAAATTAACTTAAATCATATCAGTGCAAAAAATGAAGTCAATGATAAGTTCCACATATATTATAACTTAATCGTTTTTCCCTCCTAATTTCCTGAAAGTTCCCCAACCTAGACATTGGAGTGGTCAACATACTCAGCTACTTCACTCACTATGATGCAGACTAGTCCTTAAATAAATGTAAAATATTGTTTGAGGATCGATCTGCATCAATGCCAGTTCTAATGATATGGATTGACTCATTTGATTTTTCGATCACCACAGTCATCTATGAAGTTTCATCAGACCTGATGGGTTGGTGAATGATGAAATCTTGGCGAGCATTCAGAAATATCACTTGACTTTGCTAACTTATATCACATGTGACGTGGAAGAGATTTACACCTTCCAAATAAAGGATAGCACACTGTGCAACCATTAGCTCCATAGTATTTTGTCTGTAAAATAAAGGCTTTAAGGAAGATATGCGTAGGCAGCGTGACTTCAATCACAGGTATTTTCAAAGCATTACTCAAGTCTTATCGAAAGACAGTTAAAGCAAGTCTGAGATTAGACGCACGGTACTAAGTAGAAAGGGTAAATCAGTTAATGCTATTAGGAAGTACCAGTGACTGAAATGGTTGAGAAATATCCAACCATCGCCTATCTCAATGACCAATGTTAGCTGGTGTAAGAGTAATTTGAAAGAATGCTAAGAGCGGTCAAACCACGATGTGATACTAATCCATGAAGTTACTGACTGCTGGTCTGAACTAAGTGGGTAGATGTAGACTACCTAGTTGAGTATGTTTAGTGACATGACTCAGAAATCGTTACAATGGTGCACAAACACTCTCTTTATTTTCCTCTAGATCTTGAGTTTCAGTATTCCTTTAGACAGACCTTTACATTTAACCCTTTACAAGCCAAATATTCAATGTTTACTCTGTCTCATTATCATTGCTACTACGGTTATTTTGACTTCTTAGGAATTCACCTAGCTAACTTCAACTTGTCACCCTAATCTGATATGAGAACTTCAGCTAAAGTATATTTGTTCCAGGCTCTACGTTGATAACCATTAACTGACCGGTATTCATAATTAGTTTATATCTTTTCTCAATGAATAAAATCTATCTTAATTGTGTGTATAAATTAAACGGAATAGTTTATTACCTTTTATTCTCTTCCTTGGTAATTTATCTCAAGTTTATCTATCATATTGATATCTAGTTCTATATAACGTATTTATTAGTGTCCCATTACATATAACAAGTCAGTTTAGTGTATCATAATCATACATGCTTATACATAGATAGGAGATAATTTACCGGTAATATGATAAAATAACTGTAAACCGCTTGTTTATTTTGGAGAAGAGAAGAGGGGGAGAGGGAGAGAAAAAAAAGCGCCTTTGTATTATTTCACAACAACAACACCAACAACATTGAAGAAAAGAAGGTAAGAACTTCAGTAGATGAGATGACATTGCCCATAGCAACCAAAATCGATAAGTAGTTGTTTGTTTTGTTCTCCAGTGTAAAATATGAATCAAACTATAAATGAAAATGAGGACATACTGTAATTTTGTTTCGTTTTTTTAAGGAAAAAACTTATTAACCGGATGTTTTATGGTAATATACATATACTAATGAAATAAAAATGATCATCAGTCTTTTATAATAGTGAATAAACGTTTTTTTTCTTCCTGTTAAAACACCCTATAATATGACAGTATAAGTTGAAAGGAAATTAGAGGTGACCAAACGAAAAACTTGATATTGGTCAATATATGAATTCATTTGTTGTTATAGATTAAATTATTTAGAAAGGTTCAGATAACCTGGTCAAAACTCTCAAAACTATCTTTACTTATTGTTGAAGATATTGACGGTCACAATTGAAAATCAGTCACAGTAGTACAAATGACTTGAATGTTTATTCTTTCCTTAGATATTGAGTTCAAGAACTATCTGATACTTTTTACATGACGGAATCATTCCTTCTTCTAGACTCATACTATCTCTACTAAGTCTTTTCTATTACCCCCAATTATCTGATATCCTACTTGATAATTTATTATCGGCATGTTGATATGTTGTAGCTACATGAACCGATGCATATGCATGTCAGGTTCTGAGTTGTTTATAACTGACTGACTGATTGACTGAAATACCGACTGATTATGGGAGATTATTATAGAAAGGAGAAAAATATGTCTGAGGAGATAACATGTTTGATATCCTGGAATTATCATTAATATTCTCAAAAACTTTCATCTATTCAGAATATACATTGTTACCCAGTAAGTTCTCATTTAGCAAACATTAAATTTATATGGAATATGTTATTTCTTAGGAGGCAAAACCCGAGTTACACGTCCTCGTCGTGCCTCCTGGGTTATGGGACTGTTTCCATGTACTAATGTGAGCGGTAACACGGGTGGTGGAGATCGGCCTAAGAAACCACTCTATCTATACCCAAAACTAATTACGATAGCTACAAAGAATAATTGCATAATTATTGTTGGTTCAAAAAGAAGGGGTAAATGAGTCTGCCCAAAAAAAGAAAAAAAGAATGATGTGATGACTCTGCGTAAGCAATGCAGAAACAGCTATTAAGCCCCGGTAGTCCTGCCGTGCTTCGATGTAGCACTCTTCTCCAGAAGGACCTACTATGCTTCACCATGTTCCTCCTCCTATGTTATTTCTTATGACTAGTTCGATAATAACCAATTTTCAGTGGCGTTTTGCTTTATAATATGATAATTAACTTTCTTTCTGAAAATCTACAGTTGTGTAAATATGAAGTTGAAACTGTTTGTTTTATCTCAAAAGTAGAAAAGTAGCCTTAACCCCATGCTAATGACTTTTTTTGATCAACAGAATGTAATCTTATAGTTTACACTACGAAGTGATCTTACTTCCAACACACTTAAATCTAGGAAGCGTTGGTCAGCTATTTCGCCTCAGTATAGGACTTCATTGGCAGTGTGTATTCACGACCACGCCGTGTATCGAATCCATGGCTCTTGGTCTCATAGAAAGCGCTGAAGCTTCGACAGTGTATGTGCTTAACTTTGACCGATTCATGATACTGTGCAACAATCTTCCATTAACTGAGGTGGATATACATTCACTCAGCTTGTAAACCTCTTTGCTCCCAAGAGATTTATGTAAGAATAATGTAAATTTCAACGACATTTTAAGTTTACAACTTTCGTTAAATCCATTTTGAATCTGGTTAATATTGGTAAAAAATCTGTTATTATTGGTCATCTTATTTAACGAATTAACTATGTCTATTGTGAGGCGGTTACTCACTGAAGACAATGGTAGACGGTCGCACAAAATCGTGGATTGGTTGAAACTAAACATTAATACCGTTGGATGCTGGCTCATGGTTCTAGAGGTCAAGCATTCGTGCGAGACCGAAGATCCCGGGATCGTGAGTTTACACTTCTGAGCAGGCCCATACTAGGACAAAACGGCCGTCCAGTGCTTCCAGGTTTTCAATGGTGATCTAACATTGATCCATTCATAATATCAATCTAAACTAAAATTGTAGATCTAGAATGATCGAATATCGATTTATTAGCTGAATAGTTTCATCTTGACTGACAAACCTACACTTGGATGGTTCAATTAAATGTGAAACCATGATTGTACATACGCGAAGAGTTCAGTATACAAAAGAAACAAAAGTTTATCATATCATTTGTTCTACAAAAATATGTTAACGTCAGTTCATGACAAAAACACCTTGAAATCGATAAAAAAGAATTTAAACACATCAATACTTTGATAGATTTGAATATTAATTTATTTTCATAATTGAAACCATGAGTCAGTTGAAGCTAGACCACCATGCAAAAACCTGAAAGCACTGAACGGCCGTTTCGTCCTATTATGGGATTCCTCAATAGTGTGCATCCACGATCCTGCACCCGCGAGATTCGAACCCGGGACCTACCAGTCTCCCGCCAGAGTATTTAACCAGTTAAGTGGTTCCAGGTTTTCCAATGGTGGTCTAGCTTTAACTGACTCATAATTTCATCTTTGAACATACTGAAATCTCCACAAAATCCATTCTGATCTATTAATCTATTCACCATAATAAAGGATAACATTTCTTTGATTAATGAAAAAAATCCAATCTACTTGTAAGTAGTCATTATTGAACACAAATAAAATAATAATAATACATTAACAATGATTGAATAAATAATTTACCTTAATTGTGCTGTAGCACGATTTATAATATTTTTAATTTGTTCTTGACAAATTTTTATTCCATCAATTTCCTATGAAGAAAAGAAAATTATTTTTTTAAAATTAGAATAAATGATAATGTGGTGTGGATTACTTATATCCACATAAGTAGTATATGGTGATGGTCAGGCATAGAATGTATTTCACTAGAAGAATGATAAGGAAAGAACCAAAACGTAACGCAACTGCTACGAAAATGCATGAAAAATAATAATCGGAGACGATGGACTGATATTTGCAGAAGGAACAATCAAGATTGAGACAAATGATTGATAAGCAAAGATGGATAGTGATTAGCAGTGGAATCCAGTTTGACGCGCGCTTCGTCCTATTTTGGACTCGTTAGCTGGATGTACTTGCATCTCAGAGTTGATGTTCATTCTGGGATTCGAAACCAGTACCTTTCGCTCCATACGTCATCGCATTATCCACTCAGCTACTGAGTCCTGTTAGCCACTTGCTTGTGAAATGGGGTAAAGTTCAAATTCACTTAGTATTGTTTGTTTGAATCTTCCCATTATCTCAGTGGCCGAGTGGATAACACGATGGTGTTTGAAGTGAAATTTACTGGGTTCGAGTCCCAAAATGAACATCAACTCTGAGATACAGGTACATCCAGCTGACGAGTCCCAAATGGGACGAAGCGCGCGTCAAACTGGATTCCACTGATAGCCAATATCCATCTTTACATACCATTTTTGTGAATTTAGGCTATATCGAGGCAATACGCATAGTATGCACATATGGCCAATAACAGACTGACCAGTTGCAGTCCTAAACATCAATGGGAAGATTCAAACAAACAATACTAAGTGAATTTAAATGATTGATAGTTTGCCTATTAGCTGTTTACTGTATTGTTGTTAGATTTTAGTGAAAGTCCGTAATTTTCGTGTCAAGTAAGTTCGATTGTCCCCACCCGTGTTCTTGTTCACTGCAATGCGTGTATATAATATATATTTTCTAAAATCTGTTCTCGTATTTGACTTATTTTAATTCCTTTATACACTAACGCCAGTTAAGTCGACAATAATATACGAGGATAGTCAACATAAAATTTCAATGGCAACCAATCATACGATATTACTGGAGTCAGATAAGGGTGCCACAAAAGTGATTAGCCCGTTGATGACATCGTAAGATCTAAATGGAGTCAGATACAGATCTAGGACCGCTAAATCAGTATATATATATATATTACTTATAAATGATAGCAAATATTATGAACATCTAATGATATAACATTCGAAGGATTGCCTCCAAATACTTTGAATATTAAAATCTAACTTAAAAGTGTTTGTTTTTTCCCATCGATATCAAGGATTGTAGCCAATCACTAATTTTTGGTCTATATATGTTTTGAGTGGACTACCTCAACATTGCAAGATATTCATAAGGTATTGAGTTCGAGTTCCAGTGTGAATATCACTAATATCCGAGTACATCTCGCTAAGGAATAGCACACAGAATGAAATAAACGTTCAATATTCCAATGCTTGCCATTAACTAATACTAATGAAATAGAAATCTAATTTAAAATGCACACCATTATCCAAAAAGTCGTAATTGGATTATTCATCAAACTTTTGGTAGCAAATTACAGAGATTGGCATTAGTTGGATAAAAATAAAAGATATGCTCCATGGCAACGTACATACTTGTTTCATAGATAGACAGATATTATTTAAAAGTATAAAACGCCAAAACATTTCAGTAGCTAACGGACCGATTTGTTTCTATTATAAAAATAACAATAATGGTAAACTGTATAGAATTGTTTGTAATTCACACTGATGTAAAAAGAATTTAATAACCGACAGTTGACTTTTCATTTTCTATATAAAATATATAAAATCTCAGTGAATGAATTTGACATAAATCCAACGTTTCGCCTGGCAATCTGGTCTTAAACGTTTGTACCAACTCATTATATTTATTCCCAGATGCCCTGGTACGGCCGAGAGTGGGGAGAGTCCACTCTTCCTCTCAAAATACTCTCACATCGCCACGCGTATATAGCCTCTGACAGGGAAGTCCTACTCACTGCCTTCTCGCGGCATTACCGTTGTTTAGGAAATTGAGAGAACGACAAGCGAATGTCCGGTGCTTTAAACGGATTGGTGGACACGGAAAGTTCACCTAGAGGAGTTGGAAAACCCTCATTCCAAACCAATGGTGCACATGGGCTGGATCCAGTATCCTGGGTGAACAAATGGCGTATGAATCAATCGTTGGTAACCGGCTACCATGAGACTGCATCTCGTCATGATGCTCCACTGCCTTGTGGATCGGATCTTTAGGTCAAAGGCTGCGGGTGTGTCTCCTTAAGAAGACAACCTGCTTCAGTTTGGGCACCTGAACAGTATCACAGCCCTCACACAAATCAAATGAGATTTGTGTGGCGCATATGTATCTGGTGTCCTTTTGTAACAATATGTATGTGTTCGAATAAGAAAAAATTTTTATTCTTGGTTTCATAATTTCCATACAAATATATCATTTCATTAGGACAAAAATCTATTGGACTGGACAACTGTCTTATATTCGGAATATCAGTTCATTGAAGTCTTACTTAATAATTTGGTCTAGTAAACAGTGATTAATCAGCTACACTGTATCGATGCGTATAATTAGTTGATCAGCATTTTATATTATAAATCCATTCGGAATCGATCCACTAATTGAATAAACCATAAACGTTCTTCATAAAAACACTATCAGATTATAATTTATAATGGTTACTTAATAGTTAGTGTTTCTGGAGTATGTGTTCAGCCATTCAGTAAGTGAAAAGTGTAACACAAATTATACGGACTGATCGTAGTTCAATATGGAAAATTGACTAAAACTCTTAATTATACCATCGGATACCAATTGAGTAGTTTTTAATGGTTAAGTTCCATCATGAAACTCGATGGTCCCATTCCTGGTGAGACTGTAAATAGATATCATAGAGCAGTACCATACTAAGATGAATTGTTATCCAACGCCCTCCCCCCGATTGATTTCCACTTATACCTCACATAAAATCAATCCCTACAAAATTCCCTCAACAAACTTTTAAAATAGATATTCAAATTATTGAAAAATGAAAAAGTAGGAAAGAAAATGAGTAAAATTTAATTAAAAAGCTTAACCGATAGACCACTGTGCCGGCCAGCATCCAACGGTGTTAATGTCTAACTTCAACCAATACACGAAACAGCCGTCCAGTGCTTCCAGGTTTTCCATGCTGATCTATCTTCAATTGACTCATGATCTCAACTATAGAAAATTACTAAAATCTCCACAAAACCCCCTTCTATTAAAAAGGGCAACACATCTACTTCTATTAGTACAATTCAAAATAATAAAGAAAAGAGGTATTCACTTCACACTGTTATAAAATAAAGGTAAACAATAATGAAATTATACTTTTTCTTATTTTAATTAAAAGTACATCATTATAATGATAAGTGCATCAGTTTTCCTTTTTAATTAATAATATATGGTATATTTTTATTTGTATTATTCTATCCAAAAAAATGAAATATTAAACGACTTAATGAGAAAGATTACCGAATAGTTGAATTCATAAGTCAATTAAAGTTAGATCACCATTGAAAACCTGGAAGTAATTGACTGTCGTTTCGTCCCATTTTGAGACTCCTCAGCAATGCGCATCCACTATCTCGCCCCACAAGATTCGAACCTAAGAACTATCAGTCTCGCGCGAACACTTAACAAATAGACCACTGAGCCGGCCGGTATCCAACGGTGTTAATGTCTAACTCCACAAAATTGGGCCAGAACTCAAACGACGGACTACAGTGCAAAGCCGTGCATGGAGGACAGCTGACAGATACATTTCCAGTAGGGACCGGAGTCAGACAAAGCTGTCTACTCTCCCCTTTCCTTTTTCTCCTGGTGATTGACTGGATTATGAAAACCTCTACATCTGAGGGGATGCACGGAATACAATGGACAGCTCAGAACCGATTGGACGATTTGGACTTTGCAGATGACCTAGCCTTCCTCTTTCATACACACGAACAAATACAGACGAAGACAGCAAATGTAGCAGCAGCCTCCGCATCAATAGGCCTCAACATACTCAAAGGAAAAAGCAAGATTCTCAAATGCAACACCAACCCTGTCACAATTGATGGAGAAACTCTGGAAGATGTTGAAACGCTCACATACATGGACAGCATCATTGATGAACAAGGAGAATCTAATGCAGATGTAAAGTCGAGGATTGGAAACGAAAGGGTGGCATTCCAACATTGAAGAACATATAGAACTCTAAACAACTGTCAACTAATTTCAAAGTGAGAATCTTCAATACGAACGTCAAGACAGTTAGTTCTACTGCACAGAGCTGAAACGTGGAGAACTACCACAACCATCGCCAAGAAGGTACAAGTATTTATGAACAGTTGTTTACTCAAAATACTCAACATTCACTGGCCGGATACTATCAGCAACAGCGTTTAATGGGAGAGGACAAACCAGCTTCCAGATGAAGAGGAAATTAGGAAAATATGTTGGAAGTGGATCGGATATGCATTAAGGAAATCACCACACTGCATCAAGAGGCAAGCTCTGACTTGGAATCCGGAAGGGAAGCGGAATAGATGAAGGCCAAAGAACACATTACGCCGGGAAATAGAAGCAGATATGAAAAGGATGAATAACAACTGGAAAGGATTGGAAAGGATTGCCCAGGACAGGGTTGCATTGAGAATGCTGGTGTGCGGCCTATGCTCCTCCACGAGGGGTAACAGTTGTAAGTAATTTATTGATTAGTACATCAAATGAAAACTTCATTTAAATCATTTATTAAGATGTAATTGTATGTTATATTTCTACTGAATTACAATTATTCAATCAATATATTTTTATTATTATAGAATATTTATGAAGATTGAAAAAGAAAATCTACATCATGGATTGAATTTAGTCAACTGTTTTATTTTAGTGTAGGTTGTATGAATGAATATATACACAAATCCATCAAGAATTGCACTCAGAACCAATAGGGCTTCAAGAC